GGTGGAGCGTTAGGAAACCCCCCGGGGTTCAGCACCTCGGGCTTGTGAGGACGCAGGGGTGAGGCCGCAGCAGCCAGGGCACCTCTGGGACGGAGACGGCCTATGGGGGCCCGGCCTCCTGCTGGCCAGGCTGACGGGAGCGGAGAGAACCTGCTGGAAATGCTTGGCTATCTGTTCGCTCTGTAGCCTGAAGAATCACATTGCTAGCGCTTGTGCAAAACGGATTCTGATTATTTTAACAACTTGACTGCTTGGTTTCTCAAACGTTACGGCGTAAGGCGACTGGAATCTGATACTGTGGCCTTCGCCTGAGAGCACTGTCCCCATGTCCTTCCGCTGGGCCGGTCTGTCCTGCCCTGCAGACACGCCTTAGATGTATGTAGCGTGTTGGTGTCACTTAGGAGTCACCTTGAAAGTGACAGGCAGGGGAGTCACTGGAGTCTGTTACACACGGGAAACCAGTCGTGAGCTCAGGTGGGTGTTAGGAGTCACCCCCTCTTGAGAAGGTGCTGTGTCTTTCCGAGCAGGTCCAAGCATGGCCATGCCTTTGTTTAAGGACGTGGCCCAGCGTTTCAGAACTTGATAGTAAAAATCAACCAAATCATGAATTATGTGGCCACATTCTTGGCTGGCTGAGCAGTTTAGTTACTTTCTAGCCCCCTGGCTGTGCCTTTAAAAGCCCTGTGTCTCGGGCAGCCGAGGCCCCAGAACGGGGGAGCAGTCCTCCTGCCAAGGGCCACTTGGATATTTATAACATCATTGGATCAACTTAAACACGTTGGCCAAACATTTAATGAACTCACCCCTAATGCCCTGTCAGGGCCAGACCAAATGATTTCGGGGGCCATAGGCCCGCGGGCCGGACGTTTCCCATCCCTGCTGTACGGGACGGCATGACGTGGGCACAGAGGACTTCGTGTATCTTTCTCGCACTTTCCTGATAAGCCTGGAGGTGGCCTTTGGGGTTTTTCTACGTGGCTGCCACCACCCGGCCGCACTTGTCACTCAAGAAACAGTTGACCATCTGGCCAGGGCCGGCGGCCGAGAGAGGGTGTGGCACAGCTGCTGAGTGTTGGTACCTCTTTGTGTCGTTATCATATTTAATCATGTCTTCTGTCCCCCCCGCCCCCTTTTTTTCCAGATAAGAATGGAAAGAAAAGTCTGGGCAAATTTATTTCTTCTCCCACAAAAGAGAATGGGAACATTCTACTCTCCTATTCAGATGGTGATGCTTGTGGTGATAAGAAGAGAATAAAAACTGATATAATACTTGTGTGCAAGCCAGGTAACAGCTTAAAAAAAGAAAAGATAAAATGCTCCTGTGGCTTTTGCCAGGGGTGTGCCCATGCTCTTCATGGCTGTTTCTTGTTGGCCCTGCCGGGTGATGAGGCCGAAGGGGTGGGGTCAAGCATTTCAGGTTCCAGAACCCTTGACGATGGTCAGTTGGATTTGATCCCCCACCCCCTGCCCAGAACCAGCCCAGAAATGGAGAAACCGTATGGCATCTGAGGGCATTGTCGTAATTTTCCTAAAGAGCTATGTCTGCGCATGGCTTCTTGCTTAGGACTGATACACAGCAGTCACACAGCCGCTTAACTCCTGGGAGGGGCTTAAAAATGCTGCCTGGCCCGGCCAGCGTGGCTTGGTATCAGGAGGTCATGGTTCAATTCCAGGTCAGGGCACATGCCTGGGTTGCGGGCTCGATCCCCAGTGGGGGCCATACAGGAGGCAGCCAATCAGTGACTCTCTCTCATCGTTGATGTTTCTCTCTCCCTCTTCCTCTCCCTTCCTCTCTGAAACCAAGAAAAATATATTGAAAAAAAGTGCTGTCCTTGGTTTCACTGAACATGGAGCACAGTGCATCCGGTACTGTCCTTTACTTCCGTTGGTTTACAGGGTCAGAACCTACAGGTAGAGGCACACATTTTTGTGTTTCTCACAATGTGTTTTGTGAGTAATCTCCTATTTCACAGCCATACGTCTATGTCCTGGGACTTCCTTGTTGAGAGTGCTGGGAGAGTTGATCATGGCTCGGTCTTACTATCTTTAAACGTGGCCCTTGCTGTTGGGTTAATAGCGTATTGCCACCGTCGCTAACCACGCTGTTACATATCCTCCCCTCCTCCCATCAGGGAAATTCCTTTAGATAAATTCTCAGCTGTGGAATAAGCTCAGGGGCTAGGAGTATTTTTCTTTTTTTAAAAAATATGTTTTTATTGATTTTAGAGAGAGGAAGGGAGAAGGAGAGAGAGAAACATACATCAGTGGGCTGCACCTGCACGCCCCCTACTGGCGATGGAGCCTGCACCCTGGGCCTGTGTCCTCACCCGGAATCAAACCAGCAATCTTTTGGTGCATCTGTCGGCACCCAACCAAGCCACCCAGCCCGACTAGGACTATTTTTTTGAGCTTTTTTCTTTCAATTATGGCATCATATGCATAATATAAAATTTATATATTTTAAGGACTTGTAGTAAACTACACATAACATGAACTTCACCACTTTAACCGTTTTAAGCGGACAGTTCATTGGCATGAAGCACATTCCCATTGTTGGGCAACAATCACCACTATCATCTCCAGAACCTTCTCATCTTCCCAAACCGATGCTCTGCCCCGCAGTCCCCCCTCCCGCTCTGTAGGGTTGACTCTGGGAACCTCGGTACGTGGACCCACACACTATCTGTAGGATGACGGCTCTGCTCCGCCCACAGGAGAACTGGAAAGCGCCCCGGTGCTGATGGACGCCAGCGAGGACGGCTGCTACTACGAGTTCGAGTGGCACACGGCTGCCGCCTGCGTGCTGTCCCGGACCGAGGGCGACAACTGCACCGTCTTGGACTCCCAGGCAGGTGCGTGTCCTGTGTGTCCAGCAGCACCTGGCGGGCAGCGTCCCCGGGACCTGCGTGGGCTTTTAGAAAACGTACTTCCTATGAGTGTTTTAGAGGTGGCCTGCTTTAGGATGACGTTAATATGTGGGACCATCCTGACAAGCTGGTGTTTGAGGTCACGAGAAACCTGCCTTAACTTCATGGTTCAGGTCGGTTTTGCTGAACACGAAACCTGAGGGTCACAAGGAAATAAGTCACGTGGAAAAGGCTTTTCATGGGAGTGGCCACGAAACCCGCCTGAGAGACTTCACGCAGGTCCTGTGGCTTCCATCCCGCTTAGGCACGCGGGTTACGTGACCCGCAGTCGTGGGCTTCGCACAGAACTTCTAGGTTGACAGCGGAGCAACCCCTCGCAGGCACAGGCAGGGGCTGTGTCTGTGCCTGAAGGAAGGGCCCTTGTCCGCCTGCCGGGCTCCCTGCCGCCGGGAGAGGCTGTGCCAGGTCCCTCTGGCCTGTGCCCGACTGACCTGCACCGGGGCTGCTGCTGCTCTTCCGTAGGGTTCTCCTTTGACCTGTCGCCTCTCACGAAGAAAGATGGCTACAAGGTTGAGACGGCCAAGTACGACTTCTACATCAACGTGTGCGCGGCGGTGACCATGGGCGCCTGCCAGCCGGGCTCTGGGGCCTGCCAGGTGGCGAGAAGGCAAGTCTCCAGTCAGCAGCCCCGAGGTTTCTTGGGTAACAGACGTTTATTCAGGGTCAGGTGCGCTCTCTGCATTCAGATGCTGAGGAGAGGTAGCCTGTGAACCAGAGGATGCTGGGAGTTCTGTTTCCCTTGGCAACGAGGAGCGGTTTCCATGATGCCCGCCTTCGTGTGGCTGGCTCAGCTCACTTGTTAGACAGACATTTGTGCCTGTTTCTTTACTCACTAGTGCAAATGAAGGGATTGCACCTTCAGCCAGCCGTGGGCTTGGGGTCCCGAGGGGGGTTGCCCTCTCACCGCCCCCCTGTCCCCCGCCCCCCAGGCTTAGCATCTTGGCTGCAGTCAGGGTGGTCTGCGCCCTGGGTCCTGGCCCAGCTGCTCCCCATCCTGCACGCCCGCCCTCCTCCCGTGCCAGCGTCGGGGGCGGCTGGTCTGGGTCTCTTCTGAGAGGCGCTTGCTTGTTTCAGCGATGGGAAGGCTTGGAACTTGGGACAGAGCAACGCTAAGCTTTCCTATTACGATGGGATGATCCAGCTGAACTACAGGGACGGCACGCCCTACAATAACAACAGGCACACGCCCAGAGCCACGCTGATCACCTTCCTCTGCGACCGGGACGCAGGCGTGGGCGTCCCCGAGTACCAGGTAGGGAGGGGCTGTGGGTGCCCGAGAACCAGGTAGGGAGGGGCTGTGGGTCCCCGAGTACCAGGTAGGGAGGGACTGTGGGTCCCTGAGTACCAGGTTGGGAGGGGCTGTGGGTCCCCGAGTACCAGGTAGGGAGGGGCTGTGGGTCCCGAGTACCAGGTTGGAAGGGGCTGTGGGTGCCTGCCTGGGCTGGCATGGCGCTGCGAGAGATGTCAGTCCGTGAAGGCAGGAGGAAAGAAGAAAGAGTCCTCGGGGCTGGTGCCTTTCTAGTCTGAGACGAGGCTCTCCCTGTAGGTGGGTGTGAGCTGGGGTGTCCCCGGGGATAAACAGCCGCATTGTCTGGCTCCCCAAGACTGGCACTGAGCCTCCTGCCATGGCCCTTCACTTAGAGACGCAGCTTTCAGTCTGGTCTCCTGGCCACGTTACCACCTCTTGAGGTTGTAATGGATCCTGTTAGGTTTGCTGGGCCCGTAGGCAGTTTCCGTTTCTGAGCGGTCCCTGCAGCAGGCCTTTCTGCTCCGATCGCCCACAGCCCTGTCGGGCGAGTCCCAAGCACACAGGCATCGCAGCCATCCCTCCTTCCCACTTCACAGCCTGGGTTTCCGTCTTAATTTTTTAAAAAAATTTATTGATTTTTTACAGAGAGGAAGGGAGAGGGATAGAGAGTTAGAAACATCGATGAGAGAGAAACATCGATCAGCTGCCTCCTGCACACCCCGTACTGGGGATGTGCCCGCAACCAAGGTACATGCCCTCGACTGGAATCGAACCTGGGACCCTTCAGTCCACAGGCTGACGCTCTATCCACTGAGCCAAACCGGTTAGGGCGCCGTCTTAATTTTTTATTGGACACGCTTCCTGCTAATAAAATGAGGGAACGTAACCTTTCTTTCCTACAGTGTTTGTGTAGAGAGCATGTACCTGTCTTTGCTTTTGTTTAACCCTGGCTTCGCATGACATTCCCTCCCTCTGTGTCCTCCCACATCTCCTGTCGCGCCAGGAGGAAGACAACTCGACCTACAACTTCCGGTGGTACACCAGCTACGCCTGCCCCGAGGAGCCGCTGGAGTGCCTGGTGACCGACCCGCTCTCCATGGAGCAGTACGACCTCTCCAGGTGCGGGGCAGCCACCCTTGGCCTCGCCCTGGCCGGGCCAGTTAGTGCCGAGGTCTCGCATGTGGGCCTTGCCGGGAGCCTGGATCTGAGCGGTGGTAGGGCGTCCGCTCGGGGTGTAGGACCATGGTGGGGAGATGACGCAGAGTCACCCTGACCGTGGGCTGGCAGCCTTCGTCTCCAGCGGCATCACTTAAGTCAGTTGCTATTGGTGCGGAGGGGGGCAGGTTGGGGTGTGCCGCGGTCTGCGTTTAGCAGAAGTCACGCTGCTGGTGCTGAGTCACGGGGGGCGGGGTTGGGGGGCGCAGCTCAGGAGTGTGACCGCAGGGCGTGTTCTCTGCGTTTCTCTAAGAGCTTAGAAATGAGCTGTCAGGCTTCACAAGCAGACACTGCTCTGAAATTGTAGGCTGGCAAAGTCCGAAGACGGCCCCGAAGGGAACTGGTATGCCCTGGACAGCGCCGGAGCACACAGCGCGTGGCGCAAGTACTACATCAACGTGTGCCGGCCTCTGAGCCCGGTGCCCGGCTGCGACCGCTACGCGTCCGCCTGCCAGATGAGATATGAGAACAAGCAGGTGAGGCTGCCTGCCCCTCGGGGTCGCCTGTCTCTGTTGGCGCACTCACCTCCGTGGCCCGGTGTGGTGGTGTCTGGACTCCCAGCTCACAGGCGGGCGGGCCTGGAAGCGGGGCCCCTGAAAGCGGGGCCCCTGAGTGGGAGCGAGGCCTGCTGGCGTGTGGTTGTGGAAATCATTGTTCAGATTTAAGCCCTAAGCGAGCCTCGGTGTGGGGAACCTCTGCTCACAGTACGGGGCCGAGGAAACTCCCGTCGAGTGTCTAGTCTGAATTCAAAAGTGCCTTCCAGGGGCCGGCAGATGTTGGTGAAGAGTAGTGTTTGCTTCCAAGAGCTCTTGCTTCTGGCGAATGAGGGGGAGCTGGCTCAGGTGTCACGGGGTGAACTGAGCTGAGCATTTGCTCTGTCCGGACGCCGAGCTGCCCGACGTCGTCGGGAGAGTGTGGTTCCTGCCAGGAGTTTGCTATGTTCCCTTGTGCTCTTTGCCCAGTGAGTCTTTTTATTTATTTTTAAATATATTTTTATTGGTTTTTAGAGAGAGGAAGGGAAAGGGATAGAGAGATCGAAACATCGATGAGAGAGAAACAACATCAATCAGCTGCCCCCTGCAGGCCCCCTGCTGGGTATTGAGCCGGCAAACTAGTATGTGCGCTGACTGGGAATCGAACTGGTGACCTCTTGGTTCCTGGGTCGACGCTCACCCACTGAGCCACACCCCCTGGGCTGCGGGCGAGTTTAAAATAAAGATGGGCACGTGCTCCTGTAGAAATAGCACATCGGGAACATGCTTTTCCTGGCGTGGGTTTCGAGGTCTGGCGTTGCTGTGGAGGTGAGGTGAGTGCCCTGCGGGGTTTTGCGCACCAGCACGTGTGCACTCTGGGAGCAGTGGCCTCAGTACAGTCAGCGCTCGAGATCCACGGACTCCGTGTTTGCAGACTCGTCACATTTGTTACCCCCCAAATCGGTACAGTCACGTGGGACATGGGCACAGTGGCCTGACCCATACGATCCCCGCTGAGGCGGAACAAGGGGACGCCCTCCATCCTTGTCTACTTCCTGCTCTCGTGACCGTGGCCGGAGGGTGGGGATGTGAGGGGCGGGGTCGTGCAGGCCGGAGCTCCGGGCTGGGATGGGGATCGAGGCCTGCCCTGAGGACTGTTAGAGGATGGCCTTGGACAGTCATGTGTCTGAACACGGTTTTCCTATAGTAACGATGGTGGAATGCACCAGCATGAGCTCCTGTGAGGGTTGAGGGTCAGATTCTGAGTGAGCTGTGTGTGCACAGAGGTGCAGGGCTCCCTGCGTGTAGGAGCCGGTTCCCTGCGCACTCACTCCGTGCTCGCGGGGACTTCACGGACCACGAGCTGAGTGCGCGACCCCGCTGCGCGAGTGTGGACGCAGGGCCCCTCACAGGCGTGTTGTCCGCAGGGTGTGTTTTCTGAAGTCGTGTCCATCAGCAACCTGGGCGTGGCCCGGTTCGGCCCCTTGGTGGAGGAGAGCGGCAGCCTCCTGCTGGAGTACGAGAACGGCTCGGCCTGCACCACCAGCGACGGCATGCAGACCACCTACACCACCCGGATCCACCTCGTCTGCTCCAGGGGCAGCCTGGTGAGGCGCTCGGCGGGGCGGGGGAGTGCGGGCGTCTCCTGTGGCCAGTACCGCCTGGTGTGTCTCTTAACGGGGGCGAGCGAGTCTGGTGGGTAGAGGAGTCAGGTTCTCTTTTTCAAAAGTGTGGACTTGAACTCAAACTTGGGTGTGGGTCCCAGTTGCACCCTTTACTGCTGGCAAGACCTCAGGTAAATGTCTTAGCATCCAAGCCTGAGAGGTAATAGCATCCAAGCCTTCAGGGCAGGAACAGTGAGGACGCACCTTGGAATTGGATGACGCTCACTGAGCACCCAGCCTGTCGAGCGACACCGAGTCAGGGGTCGGGAGATCTGGGCCGTTTTCTGTAGTGGCTGGGCTTCCTTTGGCTGGAGGGTCTGCTCTCTTAGATTGACTGCTGTCCTGGATTTGACCTTCCAGAACACCCACCCGATATTTTCTCTCATCTGGGAGTGTGTGGTCACTTTCCTGTGGAACACGGAGGCCGCCTGTCCCATCCAAATAACGACGGAAACAGACCAGGTACGTGTGCCGTCAGGACCTCTGGGCGAGTTGCCCCGTCCGGCTCTGCACACACCCCTTCCCTCCCCTTCCTAATCTCACCAGCAACACCATGGAGACACTGATCAGCTACCTCCTGCACGCCCCCTACCGGGGGTCGAGCTCGCAACCAGGCATGTGCCCTGAGTGGGAGTTGGACCGTGATCTCCTGGTTCATGGGTCAACGCCCAACCAGTGAGCCACGCCAGGGGCATGAAGGGCTGCTTTCTCTCTGGGGTTCCCGTCGGGAGGAGCACACTTGCAGGTTTGGGAGGCACTGTGTGTGCTGTGCCCTCCAGGACTTGGTTCGAGCGTGTCTCTTCCCGCCTTGTTCACGCAGGCCTGTGCCATAAGGGACCCGAACAGCGGCTATGTGTTTGACCTCAACCCGCTGAACAGTTCCCAAGGCTACATCGTCTCTGGCATCGGGAAGACCTTTGTGGTAAGAATTCTGTGAATCCAGTTTGCTTTGAAATGCGACAGTGGCTGCGGCCACCTGCAGCTGGTGTAACTTACAGTAGGTGAGAGTATAGTTTATAGTAGATGAGGGTGTAGGTTGTAGCAGGTGAAAGTGTCCTTTATAGTAGATGAGGGTGTATGTTACAGTAGGCAAGGGTTTGGGTTACAGCAGGCGAGAGTGTAGGTTACAATAGGTGAGGGTATAGTTGTTACAATAGGCAAGAGTGTAGTTACAATGGATGAGGGTGTAGTTACGATGGATGAGGGTGTAGTTATAACGGGCAAGGGTGTAACAATGGATGAGGGTGTAGTTACAGTGGATGAGGGTGTAGTTACAGTGGATGAGGGTGTAGTTACAGTGGATGAGGGTGTAGTTACAGTGGATGAGGGTGTAGTTACAGTGGATGAGGGTGTAGTAGTAATGGATGAGGGTGTAATTACAGTGGATGAGGGTGTAGTTACAGTGGATGGGGGTGTAGTTACAGTGGATGAGGGTGTAGTTATAGTGGATGAGGGTGTAGTTACAGTGGATGAGGGTGTAGTTACAATGGGTGAGGGTGTAACAATGGATGAGGGTGTAGTTACAGTGGATGAGCGTGTAGTTACAATAGGTAAGGGGGTAGTTACAATAGGTAAGGATGTAGTTACAATGGGCGAGAGTGTACTTAGCTGCCTGTAAGAGTGTGAGAGGCAGACGAGAGCCTTGTTGAACCCCGTAGAGAATATTCTAGATAACATGAATCCCTACAGAACATGCTAGAAGTGAAGAGCCCTGATTACTTGGCGTTGCACTGACCAGCCATTTCTGAAGTAGGAGATCCTGGTCTTTCAGAAATCCGCTTTTTGTCCGTAGTCAATTATTTTGTATACGTTTCCACGCACACTTACCAGACAGAGAGCCGTCTTTCCTTCCCGTCTTCCCACCAGGGGGCCTGTTCTCCTTCATTTTCATGGGATGATGTCAACGTCTTTAAGAAGTCTAGGGTTATCCCATCATGATGGCCTCATTAACATGTTAGCTGCCTGTCATTTCTCTAATAGGATATAAAACACTAACACCAGGGCTTACATAGGTCCTCTGTTACATGTGGTGCACTGTTATGGGAAATGCGTCTGAGCGTTTGGAGGTGCAGGGCCGTATAAACACGTGCTGAGCCTTGGAGGCATCAGTGGGCACTGCCATTGGCTTGATCTTTGCCTGGGTGCCGACTCCAGGACTCTTGCCCAAACGTGGGGCGTTGGTGACCAAGCAGCGGGCATCCGCTTCCCAGCTTGGCCAGGGCAGGGTCGCAGGCTCTCCCCTGTGGCGAGGTGCGCAGCCTGAGGGTGTGGGTTTGGTTCTTACCGTCTGGCCTGCAGTTTAACGTGTGCGGCACGATGCCCGTCTGTGGGACCCTGGACGGAAAGCCAGCTTCCGGCTGTGAGGCGGCGACCGAGACAGCAGATCTCAACAACCTGAAGCCGGAGCGGCTGGTTGGACTCGAGAAGACCCTGCAGCTGTCCACGGAGGGTTTCATGACGCTGACCTACAAGGGCCCCTACTCCGACACCAAGGGTGAGCCCAGCGCCATGCTGTTGTGGCCGAGCGTGTGCTGGCGGTTCTGTGACTGTCACCTTTCCTTTCTGAGAGCGTAACGTCAGTGAGTCCCTGTGGTGTCTGAGTCCCCCGCCTCCGGGCACACGTGTGCCACACTGACGTGCCCTCGTGCTCACCCAGGTCCCACCTAGAGAGGCGGCCGGACCCCTGCTGCCCATTCGCCCCTCCTCCCCGTGTCCTTCAACAGCTGTCCCTCTGATGCGGGACGTTGTCACTTTTTAAAAAAAATACATTTTTATTGATTTCAGAGAGGAAGGGAGAGGGAGAGAGAGAAACATCAGTGAAGAGAGAGCATCACTGATTGGCTGCCTCCTCCACGCCCCCTACTGGGTGGGGGTCGAGCCTGCAACCTGGGCATGTGCCCTGACCAGAATTGAGCCTGGGACCCTTCAGTCCGCAGGCCAACACTCTGCACAGACAGTTTTGCTGTGTTAAGTTTCTTAACGTTTTTACTCTTCTCTGCAGTGTTGCACAGCAGGAACTTGGTATCAAAGGCCCAGCCCGGTTTGCAGGGGGTCGGGTCCCAGCCACGCCTCCTTTGTCGGGAGGCTGAGTGCCCGCGGCTGGTCGGTTCTCACCAGCCCGCGCCTCTCACCCCTCATCGGTGTCACGCCCTCCGCTTAACCACCTCCTCACTTGATGGGGACGAGGGCCCGGACTGGCCCGTGCCCAGGGCAGAGCCAGCGGCTCCTTGGTGGGCAGAGCCAGGGTCAGGGTCCAGATCTTTCAATTCTCATCCTGGCTCTGTCCTCAAACGTCCTGGCTCTGAAACCATCGAGGCACATTCTTGCCCACGCACCCCTTCTGGCCTTGATCCTTGCTGTTCCCCTGCCCTCAGTGCTCTTCCCTCAAGATGCCAGGTGGTTCACTTCCTCACCTTCCGGTATCGGCTCAGATTCACCTTCTCAGTGAGCCCGGCCACTGCCTTTAACATCGCCACATTCCATGCCACCACCCCCGGGATTCTGTGCCCGTCCCTGCCTTTCCCTTCTTAAACTTCTCACTCCCGGCCTGTCCCAGGCTGTGTGTAATTTGCTTATTTTCAGGGCCACCGGATGGGAGTGGGAGCTCTGGTTTTTCACTCCTGTGTGTAATGGGAACTTAGTAAATGTTTTTGATTAAATCGATAGAAGAGAGTTACGTTGTTTTCTAATGTTTTTATTGGTAAACAGATGTTGCATTTGTATATTTTCTGGAATATAGGGTAGAGCAAAAGTAGGTTTTACAGTTGTTTGTATGTGAAATAATACAAACTATATATATAAAAGCCTAAGTGACCGGCCAGGAGCTATGACATGCACTGACCACCAGGGGGCAGACGCTCAACGAAAGAGCTGCCGAGCTACGGTGACTTGGCAGCTGTGGTTCTCGGGTGATGCACTCGGAACCAGAGAGGAGGGAGCCCGATTCTGAGGTGCATCACCCAAGAACCATCCTCTTGCAATCCGGGACCCCTCGGGGGATGTCGGAGAGCCAGTTTTGGCCCGATCCCCACAGGCCAGGCTGAGGGACCCCACCGGTGCATGAATCTGTGCACTGGGCCTCCAGTAATAAATAATTGTACAAGAATAAACTCTGTTTTGTGTACTCACACCCGTAGACCTGCTTTTGCCCTGCCCTGTATGAGGCCAAGACACTAGGTTCACATACTAGCATAACCCCATCTGTATGTAGGTCACTGTCGCCATGAATGTGGCCACTCAGGTTCCGCTCAGGCCCCTTGAAACACCTGGCGCTGTGACATCACTGTTTCCGAGGTGGCCTCGGGGCTGGTTCCAGCGGAAGGGCTGTTGGGGCGGTGCTGTGATTGCTGCCGTTTCTTACAGTCTGTACTTCTTGTTCCCCAGCGTCTGGTAATTCTTTCATCATCCGCTTTGTTTGCAATGACGACGAGTACCCAGGAACCGCCAAATTCCTGCATCAAGACATTGATGCTGGCCTGGGGATCCGAAAGACTTACATTGAGTTTGAAACGGCACTGGCCTGCGTGCCTTCTCCAGTGGATTGCCAGGTCACAGGTAAGGCCTGGGGGACCAGAAACTCAGAGGCCAGTCAAAAGTGTGTGTGTGCACATGAGTGTGTGCACGTGAGTATGTGTGCATGTGAGTGTGTGCGCTTATGAGTGAGTGTGTGCAGGGGTACATATGTGAACCTGCACGTGAGTGTGTGCATGTGTGCGTGTGTGTGCTTATGAATGTGTGCACGAGTGCATGTATGTACATGCATGAGTGTGTGCATGTGTGCACATGAGTGTGTACGTGGCATGTTTTACTGTACAGGCAGCATGCCATGTGTGTTTGCACATTTTCTTTAAATGATGCCTAGATTTGGAATCTTTCCCTTGAAGAGAATCTGGGATAATTAATGGTTTTAAGTTATATTTTGGGATCAGAATTACATGCCTAAGAACAGAGAAGAAAACTTGGGGAAAAATAAAATACACTGTCAGAGCTTCTTATTTGAGGAAGGAGATTAAGAAGAGGATCAGGTTGCGTAAGGGGGACTCAAGACCAAGCAGTGTCCCGGGACCCTCCCCTGTACTCTCTGGCTGGCCTCCACACGGCGGCTGTGAGGGTCAGAGAGGGGCTGCGTTTCTGCAGGAGCCTCCGGGCTCCTGGGGGCCTCCTTGCTGCTGCTGCTGCTGCTGCTTTTTTGATCCTCACCTGAGGGTGTTTTTCCATTGATTTTTAGAGAGAGTGGGAGGGAGGGAAGAAGGCAGAGAGAGAGAGGGGAACATCGATGTGAGAGGGACACATCAATTGGTTGCCTCCTGCATGCATCTCGACCGGGGCCAGATCATACCTGCAACCCAGGTACGTGCCCTTGACTGGGAATCGTACCCACAACCCTTCAGTGTGCAGCCGGTGTTCTAACCACTGGGCACACCAGCCAGGCCCCCCCCTCTCTGTCACGAGTGCCAGGGGTGCAGCGTGGGTTTCCGCTGGGTAGGAGGGCCGCGCTCACAGCCGACAAGAAGGCCCTGCTGCCCTGCGTGTCCCTGATGTTTCAGACCTGGCCGGGAACGAGTACGACCTGAGTGGCCTGAGCAGCGTCCGGAAGCCCTGGATTGCTGTGGACCCCTCGGCGGATGGACAAAAGAGAACTTTCTACCTGAGCGTGTGCACGCCCCTCCCGTACATCCCTGGGTGCCGAGGTGAGCGTGGAGCATTTGACTCCAGTTCCACCTGCCTTCCCCCTCCTCCACTCCCCACCCAAGCGAATCCCCGGCTCTTCCAGGCAACGCAGTGGGGTCGTGTCTGGTGTCCGAGGAGGACAGCTGGAACCTGGGCGTGGTGCAGATCAGCCCTCAGGCTGCAGCCAACGGGTCCCTGAGCCTCGTCTACGTCAACGGCGACAAGTGCGGGAACCAGCGCTTTTCCACCAGGATAACGCTGGAGTGTGCCCAGACGTCGGTGAGTGTGCCCAGACGTCGGTGAGTGTGCCCAGACGTCGGTGTGTGTGCCCAGACGTCGGTGCGTGTGCCCAGACGTCGGTGAGTGTGCCCAGACGTCGGTGCGTGTGCCCAGACATCGGTGCGTGTGCCCAGACATCAGTGTGTGTGCCCAGACATCAGTGTGTGTGCGACAAGCAATGCATCTCGTGTGTCGGCCCCATTCCCCAGGTCCCTCCCATCTCTGAATCTTCTGACTCACAACTTGTCTGGGTTCTCATGGGTCCAGGCCTTTGATGGGGTTCTTTGGAGCGTGCTCTTCCCCAGGGCCCACGTGATTGACAAGTGCCGTGGATTTCTCCCGGAGGTGAAACGCTGGCTCTTCATCGTGGCTGTCATTTCACTTCATTTTTCTTGTCGCAGGGCTCGCCCACGTTCCAGCTGCTGAATGACTGCGAGTACGTGTTCGTCTGGAGGACGGTGGAAGCCTGCCCGGTGGTCAGAGCGGAAGGTAGGCCTGGCTCGCCGACAGCGTGAGGGCAGCAGGGGCCACGCCCTGCCCTCGCCCAGACGAGAGACCCTGCGGTAACGGGCACGTGTGTGGCCGTGGAACACGCATCCGTGGGCGGATAGTTCTCTCTTTTCTCAGTATCACCTCGGGAGTGTCTTTTCTCAGTTACAGTTGACATACCCTGCTGTGTTAGTTCAGGTGTGCAGTATAGTGATTAGAATGAACAGATACCTTTTTTTTTTTTTAAACATAATTTTTATTGATTTCAGAGAGGAAAGGAGAGGGAGAGAGAGAGAGAGGGAAGCATCAATGATGAGAGGGAATCATGGATCGGCTGCCTCCTGTACGCCCCCCACTGGGGATCGAGTCTGCAACCGTGAATCGAACCGTGACCTCCTGGTTCACAGGTCGATGCTCAGCCACTGAGCCACGCGGCCGGGCTGCACAGATAATCTCTTATCTGTGAGTTGTGTTACTCCAGTATGTTGCCGACTTGACCCGCGGTGTTTTCCTCAGGTGCCCGGGTTGGTGGCTGCTGGCTTCTCACACTGAACACATTATGTGGGGCATTTATTGTTGTCTGATGAAGTGAATCCTCATCATGTGCCCTAGGCTCTCCTAGAAGGTTGCTTGCCAGGCAGTTCTCATCGTGTATCTATAGAAACAGCGAAGCCATGTGGGCACGTGTGTGATGCCTATTTTGAGGTGGCAGTTGTCCGGTTGGAAAGAGGGTAACTTTCTGCTGCACGTGTGAGTGGCTCCGTTGTCTGAGCGACTCCTGCCGTGTCCTTGCAGGAGACAACTGTGAGGTGCGAGACCCCAGGCACGGCCACCTGTACGACCTGAAGCCCCTCGCCATGAACGACAGCGTGGTGAACGCCGGGGAGTACACCTACTACTTCCGGGTCTGCGGGAAGCTGTCCTCCAACGTCTGCTCCACCGACGACAAGTCCAAGGTGATCTCGTCCTGTCAGGAGAAGCGCGGCCCGCTGGGATTCCACAAAGTGGCAGGTACCGGGGCTTTCACTGCTCTCGCCGCAAGCAAAGCCTGGGGGCTGCGGTCGAAGGTGCCAGGCTGGGGAGTGCATCTCCTTGGGCAGGAGGACGGCTGCTGGGTGCCCCGCCGAGAGGTGTCTGCTTGCTGGTTTTCTTAGCCAGAGTGTGCTCTGACGGAGCCGTTAGAGATTCGTTTCTTTCATTCATATTTAGCAATGCCAGTTATGGATCCTAAGGCCTTGTTTTTTATCTTATTTATTTTTTTAAAAATATGTTTTTATTGACTTCAGAGAGCAAGTGAGAGAGAGAGAGAGAGAGAGAGAGAGAGAGAGAGAAACATCAGTGATGAGAGAATCATTGATCGGCTGCCTCCTGCATGCCCCCTCCTGGGGATCGAGCCCGCCACCCGGGCATGTGCCCTTGACCGGAATTGAACCCAGGACCCTTCAGTCTGCAGGCCAACGCTCTATCTACTGAGTCAAACCAGCGTGGGCAGACTTGTTTCTTTTCTCTATTGCAACAGTGGGGCCGCTGAACCAGCCAGGGATGGGTGTTCCGAGGTAGTACTTTCTAGAATCGAATCGGGACCCGTTTAGTAAAGGGTTTGGTTCTGAAACTCACAGGCAGGCTGTGGGTCACCATGCCATCTCAGCCGGGGGTGAGTGGTAATAAGTTGAAGGACATTTAAAGAAGTCCAAGGAGTGGCTGTGTGTGTGGCAGCCCCCAGGGCCACTCAGAGGTGTGACTGCTGTGTGCTGGCTGGGCTGAGGAATGTCTGTGGATCGTCCTTTGGTCAGGCGAGGCTGCTGCAGCCCTGGGCCGAGAAGCCTGGCTCTGTGCCTCCTGCTGTGATGTGGCAGGAGCAGGTGCACAGCCGTGGCCGGCACATCGGTCGCCTGTGGTTCGGGTGCGTGATGCAGCGGGTGTGTCGTGGTCAGCGTGGCACCTAGCACGATCCTCGTTAACCAGCCGCCGCTCCCACAGGCCTCCTCACGCAGAAGCTGACTTACGAGAACGGGCTGCTGAAGATGAACTACACTGGGGGGGACACTTGCCATAAGGTGTATCAGCGCTCGACGACCATCTTCTTCTACTGCGACCGCAGCACCCAGAAGGTGAGCGGGAGCTGTAGGGAGGTCTCCGCGGCGGGCGCCCCTCGCGGCTCCGCTCAGACAGACAGCGTGCCCCCCTCACAGCTGCACTGAGCTGAGTGGGACCCTGTTACGGGGCCTGTTGAAACCGTGATGGATTTGAGTGGATTTCAGGGAACAGACTCCTCCCTGACCACTTCACCCTTAAAACTCAAAGCGTAAGTGAACGGGAGGTTCCTGTGTCACAAGAGCGTGTCTGTCCCTCTGCAGCCCGTGTTCCTCCAGGAGACCTCCGACTGCTCCTACCTGTTCGAGTGGCGCACACAGTACGCCTGCCGCCCTTTCGACGTGACGGAATGCTCCTTCAAGTGAGTCCCGGCCTGGGCGTGCTTCTCCGACGGTCGGAAGCGTGACTGTGTGAAGTGCTTTTTATAAAAGAAAAAGAAATGGGTCTCTCTCTGTCCTTGATTCACTTCCTTTTTAAAAAAAAAAAATGTATTTTATTGATTTTTTTTACAGAGAGGAAGGGAGAGAGATAGAGAATTAGAAACATCGATGAGAGAGAAACATCGATCAGCTGCCTCCTGCACATCCCCTACTGGGGATGTGTCCGCAACCCAGGTACATGCCCTTGACCGGAATCGAACCTGGGACCTTTCAGGCCGACGCTCTATCCACTGAGCCAAACCGGTTCCAGCGACTCACTTCCTTTTTGCATTGCGTTCTCTGCTTTGATTTAGTTTTCCCCCTTCCGGTGCCTTGGGTAGTGTAGGTGCGACAGTGCGGTTCCCACCCCTCCTCCTGGTCTCTGATGGGGCGCGGAGCTCGAACCAGTGTGCCAACCAGCTTCCCACTGACAGTGGCTGTCATGTGCCTTCTCTGTGGCCTGAGCTTAGAGAGCACCCACTTCTCGGGCTTGGTGTTTGGAGGTTCTCATTAATATATAATGAAAAAATATATACTTTTTTATTGACTTCAGGGAGGAAGGGGGAGGGACAGAGGTAGAAACATCAGTGACGAGAAAGAATCATTGATTTGCCGCCTCCTGCACACCCCCTACTGGGGGAGTGAGCCTGCAACCAAGGCATGTGCCCTTGACTGGAATCGAACCCAGGACTCCTCAGCCTGCAGGCCGATGCTCTATCCACTGAGCCACACCAGCTGGGGCTGGTTTTGTTGAACTGTGTCTTTGTGAGTTTGAGTTGTCGCTGACCTGACCGTGGGGGTGTGGTCCAGTCTAAAGGCCTGTCCTTGGGGAAGAGCCGACTCCCGGACAGCGTGCCAACCTCTCAGGTGGACACAGCTGACCCTGACTTCCTCCCTGCAGGGACGGGGCCGGCAACAACTTCGACCTCTCGTCCCTGTCGCGGTACAGTGACAACTGGGAGGCCGTCACCAGCACCGGGGCCCCTGAGCACTACCTCATCAATGTCTGCAAGTCCCTGGCCCCGCAGCCCGGCGCGGGTGAGGACGGGGG